AAAAAAAGTTCTAGCATTACAATTTCAAAGCCTTGTTGTGACTTAAAAAAACGTATCTGTATCTATATTGTATTTTCCATTTATCTTTTGGCTTTAAATTGCACTGAACATTAAAATATTTCTAGCTTTCATGGCTGCCCAAAAAATCAAGGAAATGATCTTTACTTTAGAACATGGATCACAAATTGATTGACTGAAAAGTTGTTTAGTCTCTAATTAGAGATGAATAAAACTCTGCTTTAGTAGTAACGGAATTCAGTTTGAAGTATTAGTGATTAATTACACACTACTACATGCCAATTATTCACTAATCAGATGTAAATTTGGATGAAAATTGATACTCAATAATTTGCATAAGGACAGTTATATGCAAAAGTTTGGGCATGCTTGGTCAAGATCAAAGTTTTGTTGCATTTTTTAATTAAAATAAATGAACACGTCCCACATCAGTAGAGCAGAATTACTGGTCATTTGCTTAATACACTGACAATAAACAATTGAGTAAAATATTAACAAAATAAATAAATAAATAAAATGTGATAATTAGAAACTGTGCCCTGAAATTAGCAGAAAATGCCAGATTTACATTTGTTCCTTTTAGAGGATATGTTGACTAATGCTGACTCAGAAAATTAACAAGATTTTGACCAGACTTTAACAAGAATTTGACCGGGGTGTCCAAACTTTTGTATATCAAATATCAGAGTGTTTATCATATTCTCATTTCACGTAACTTGATGACTGTGTGGGATTATCTGTACATTTTATTATCTATACCAACTATCTGAAAAAGAGCTCTACAGAGTAATTTGTTAGTTCAGCTGTAAACAGAGCACTGAGAACAGAAATGGGCAGATTTGTCGCTCGTTGAAACTAAAATGCAATTTAAGAGTAAGTGCATAAAGAGTACCTGTCTGGTGGTCCTCTCACTCACAGCCCCCTCCTGAACTTTCTCTGCAGAGAAGATAAAATGTCACAATTACTTTCAGATACAGTTTAATGAGGCTAAACATATAAGTAAGTATTAATATTATTTCCTGTTTTTTCTCTAATAAAATGTTCAGCTGTATCTCATAATGAACACTTACCACCAGTGCGGTGTTCAGATTTTCTCAGTTTATGAATTAAAATGGTTTGAGCGCAGATTACAGCCACACACACTACTGAGAAAACTGCCAGAGTCAGCATTACAGGATCTACAGAACCTACAGGATCTACAGTATACTGTATACATGAATACAAAGTTCAAGCCACAAAAACTGTTTTCCATCTAGGCTTAAATTTCATGTTTTTTGTAAAAACGTGCTGTGAAATTGTCGCATCATATAGAAACTTGAGTGAGAATTGTTCACAGTGGTGAACAATTTTCAAGCTAGATTCGTTACTCTGAATGGATCATTTCATGATTATCCATAGAAACATATGTCTGTACATTTTTACAGATCACACATGATTGACTGCTTCTTCCACAGCTACCAAAAAGCAGCAAGTTAAACGAGTAAATCATGAAATCCAAAGAAAGTGATAGTGATAAGACAGCATATATTCTAGTAGGTGCAAATATATATATATATATATATATATATATATATATATATATATATATATATATATATATATATACACACACATATTTACACCTTCTAGAATCTCTATCCATGCCTATTTGACCTACTACTTAGTTCAAAAACTATTCTTGGAACACCCTGTTTAAAAAAATAAAATTGAAATGCTTTAAAAAAAAAGAAGCATATACACTTATACATTTACTTATGTAAAAAAAGTCAAAATCTAACTACAGCACCTTTACTAATTAAAGAATTTGTGTACTCCTTCCACCCTTGTGTAACCCCCCTTCCCCCTAAATATAATATAATTTTTAATATTTGCCACTATTTCACCATTATAAACATTACATATAAAAACTCAGAAGACATTTGTAAGTTTCACTGGTGGTTTTGAATAGTAAATAAAATGCCAGTATGTGTTTTGGTGACCCCTGGTTCCTTTCATCACCACTGTAAAGAGTCTGTAAGCTTCTCTAAAGTGAACCACATCAAACCACTCTGAATGACTCTGTTTACTCCTCAGATCAAAATTCTGGATTTCACTATTAAGCTGCAGCATCAGTTTGGGTTCAAAAATATGAATAATGGCTATAGTGCATGGTGAAGTGAAGCAGTGGTCAGTGGTCTCTGGCTATGGTCTCCAACTGAGCCAATGGTTTTTTTTGTCACTTTTTCTGTGTTTGTTTTGGTAACTTTGAAGCCCAAATGCAAACTGTACATAAAGAAAGAAAAATATAAACTATAAACACAATGGAAAGACCCATACTCAACAAAAGGACTTACCCAATTCTACTGCTGTTCCATTGCCAACAATAATCTTCCCACAAGCAGCCACAGCGCAGTAGTAAGTTCCAGTATGGTGGTGGTCGAGGATGTTCTTGGAGAAGTTGTACACAGAGCTGTGTGTAGAAGAGCTGATCTCACACTGACGGCTGCTGCTGTTCTGATGAGTGTAAATGATTTCAGGAAAGGATTGTCCTGCAGCAGCTCTGAACCAGAGCACTCGGAGTTCTGCTGCTCTGACCTCAGAGAGGACCGTGCACTGCAGAGTGACCGACTCTCCTGGAGAAACTGACCCCCATACTGGAGTTTGGAGCACTGATATGTTTAACTGAGGTTGAACTGATTAATATAATAATGACACTGTCAGATTTTAGTGCGTATTGGCTTTTTAATTTTACAATAGGCTGTAATCTATAAACGATTAAGACTGTTTTCAAAATATAGCAATATTGTAGCAATATATACAGTGTACCTTTTTCATAGTTGACATTTTTGTACATGATACATCATCATTATACACATAAGCACAATGTAAACACAAATGCAACACAGTGTCAAACTCACTTCATATGTTCTAAAATACTGAGTGTAAAAAAGTCATACAAACAATTAGAGTTTTCAGTTGTGAAGTTATTCTAAAGATGTCTATGTTAATTATGTAAAAAAACACGAGTTAATAATTACCTGTCACGGCTAAGAATGAGCCCTTAGAAAACGTAATGGAGTTGTCGTCTCCTTTTCCACAGAAGTACATTCCTTCATCAGCTTGATTCATTTGTTCAATACTCTGAGAAAAAAACTCTTTATTTTGAATCTGTTTGATGAAGTTGTGGGCTTTTTTTCCTTTAACTTCACTGCCACCTCCTGAGGTTCCTGTCCTGCTCTTTGTTTGTACCAAACCCAAATGTTTTAATCAGAATTTTTCACAAATTTGCAGTGTAGAGTGACATTTTCTCCGGACTCAGCTGAGACAAATGATTCAGAAAGATATACAGCTTGAGCAGAATCTATAAGATAGAATAAGATCAGAGCTCAGCTGATAAAGAAAACAGTAACAAGAAGCACAAACAGTAAGATAAAAAATAACCAAAAATTAAAATTAATTTAAAATCTTTTTTTGAAGAGCTCATAAACTTACATATCATGTAGAGATGTATAAAGCTTCCCAGCACTGGCTGTGGAGTAGTGGAACTGTGTTCTCTGGAGTTATGGAGCTCCTGCCAGTGCCTTTGGGATGGGTTGGAGTGATCCAGAACTGATCATCCAACATCAGTACCTGACCTCACCGATGCTCTTGTTGATGAATGCAATCAAATTCTCTCAGCAACGTTCCTACATTTAATGTAAGGCTTTCACAGAAGAGTAGATGCTGTCACTGCAGCAAAGAGGGAAGAACTCCCTATTAATACCCTTCATTTCAGAACAAACACTGGATGATCAGATGTGTAGAAACATTTGGACATATACACTAGATCATTTAATGAAGTAGTTATTTATAAAAAAGCCAAAACATTCTAAACTTTATCAGTGGAGAGCTGTGACTATTAGTACAAGCCTTCAATTCAGGCCATGTCAAAACTGCCACTGGAATCAGATTTAGTACCTTTTCCCACAGTGAACCATGTCGCATCAAACCACTCTGAATCACTTTGTTTACATCTCAACAATTGAATTTTAAAGATTTTTTTTTAATATAGGTGAAAATCATGTTTAATCCAAATTGTTGGTAATTTAGAAAAACAGGACAAATTGCAAAAATAACTTCACAAAATTTTCTCAAAATCTCATAAATATCCTAAACCCATATAAAATTGTCCACAATAGTAAAAAAGAACACTCTCAGCCATTAATAAAAATTTTTTGAGCAGTCACAGAATTAAGATAATTAATGAAAAATGAATGTAACATCATTGATGAATATAATATATCTGTAAACGTGATTGTGTATTTGGAGAAGAAGGAGCGGGGCTTATCTTCTTGAACTGTTTTATTCTACATTTTACATCATTTGATCTGGACTAATATCATTTGTAATGAAAATAATTTTAGTTATTGTTTTGTACTTTTACAGTATTCATAGCTCAGTGTATTCTGAAAATGTTATTAATAGTAAAATTATTGGTCCTGAATCTGAAACAAGCAGGATCTGTCATGAAGAATGAAGAGTTATGAAGAGATATGGAGACATTAAAGCAGCACTTGGTGTAGCATTACAAACCATCCAGTCAAAAAAAAAATAATAAATACATATCCAATTGGTCATCAGCTACCTGTCTGATGCTGAACTGCTTACAAGTTTACAGTCATACACAAAAGTTTAGACACTCCAGATAAAATGACACATTTTGTTGATTTTCTTGTATAAATATATGAACACATCAACACAGAACAGAAAAAAAAGCTAAAAGAGGGTGTTCCATTACTTTGCATAGGCCACATTGAATTTATTGATTCCCCCAAAATATTTTAAATTCAGCAACTACATCAAAAAGCAATAAAGGCTAAGACTGACCACCCGCTCTAAAGCTGAGTTCTCACATCATCAGCAGAACGTTTACCTAACAAGAAATAAGCAGTTACAGATAAAAAACTGGAGCTCATTTGAAGCATGAAAAGGTCCAAATCTTCACTCATGATCATCTTAGGAAACTAGCGATGTGAGCGCTGAGCAGCAGCTTTGGAGCTTCCCACTTGAGAGTACACAGTGTCGTTAGGCTTTTCTCTCTTCACTCTCCCAGCTTTGGCTTTCTTCTCTTTATTGTGTTTGGCAGTGTAATGCAGGTTCTCAGTGTTTTGTTCCTGTGGAAATAAACATCACCATTTAATGAAAAATAGATATAAACTTAGACAGTATTTGCTGGGCTACTTGAAGTTACTGAATGAATGTCAAAGAGAATCACTTTTCTATAGAAGATAAAATGTTTTACTCTTTGATTCATGCAATAAATAAATAAATAAATAAATAAATAAATAAATAAATATTATAGGTTCTCCAGCATGAAACAGAACAAAAATGTTTGGGTAAAAGTTGCAGGACAGACTGTGAACTGATTTCGCCCTTCAACAAGACAAAACTTTATTTGAAGGAATTGTGGGTTTATTAATGTTCTTTTCTTAGTTATATAACAAATTAGACATAGTTCATGCATTAAACCTTGTTAATTATGACCCGTATTAGTAAATAACTGGTGGTCTGTTTTGTTAAAATCACTAATTATGGCAGGTTTAGTTGTAGTGATGCATAATAAGTACTTTCATATGAAAATTACCTTTACCCTCTGATTAGTGTAATATCAGTAATATTTTATTCCTTTTAATTTGATCAATTTTAGGCAGTGTCAGGTCTGGAGTTTATTGTGTTGACATTAATAAGTCACTAATATTTCAAGATTTGTTCCATTATAATGTATGTTCATGCATAGTTAATGCATGAATTAGAATTTAAATAAAGTTAAATTTAAAAAAAATAAGTTAAGCAAAATACACATTTGATTGTTAATTTCAGTCTAACAGTATTCCCAACTTGTAGGTCTTTCACTATTAAAAATCTATGAAGTGACAATTACTTGAGTCACAAATTGACAAATTATTCTTAAGTCTCAAATTGAAAATTCTTAAGCACTTTTTAGCCTTGAATTAGTGATGATTACAATCTATGGAACAATTACAAATGTAGAGACTCATTAAACTGTTATTAGCTTTAAACTATTAAAGTCCAGAAAGTATCTGCCACTGTGTAGAGCCTATAGGAAAAAAAAATGCCAATTTTACATTTATAAGATGTGAAATTAGATAATAATTCATGCTTGACAATTTGCATAACAAGATATAGTTAAATAATGACACATTTTATGGTAAAAAATGCAGGAATTTTAGATGTTCCACAAGTTAAAGTCAGAAAGCAAATTGAAATTGAGCACAAATATATGTTCTCTGTAGATGTGTTAACATATTTTCACTTAAATAATCAGCAAAATGTCATGTGACTGTTCAAACCTTTGCACATGACTGATTATCCAAGTGTTTATTGTGCTTCATTATTAAAAGCACTGAGAGCAGATACAGGCACTTGAATAAATTTCAACCATATCAGATTCTCAGTAGAAAAAGAATAAATGTATAAAGAGTACCTGTCTGGTGGTCCTCACACTCACAGCCCCCTCCTGAACTTTCTCTGTAGAGGAGATAAAACTTCACAATCACTTTCAGATACAGTTTAATGGTTTGTAAGCATTACAACTATTTTATATTTTTTTCTGTCAAAATGTTCAGCTGCATCTCATAGTGAACACTTACCGCCAGCTCGGCGTTCAGATTTTCTCAGTTTATGGATTAAAATGGTTTGAGCGCAGATTACAGCCACACACACTGCTGAGAAAACTGCCAGAGTCAGCATTACAGGATCTACAGGAGCTTCTGTAAGACAGGAATTACCAACATACTGTAAACATGAATAGAGAAATTCAAGCCACAAAAACATTTTCCATCTAATGTTTTTTGGTTAAATTTTATGTTTATAAACTATGATTTCCTGATCGTTCTCCACCCCAAGCTGCAGTACTTTTAGTACTTAGTACAGACAGAATTCACAGTGTTGATGACAAGAACCTCATATTTGAAGTGTTTAGTGCCTCTAATAGGTCACTACCCTCCCACCACATAAAAGAAAAAAATCTGACTTAGCCTTTATTTCATCACCAACATTACATTAGTAAAAATGAGTAAAAATTCAGAAACTTGTGTAGTTGGACTGGTGGTCTTGGATAGTAAATAAAAGTGTTGCTGATATTATGACCCCTGGTTCTTATCAGCACCACTGTAAATAAATCTGTGTAAATAATTTTCTCTACAATGAACCGTTTCACTCCATCATTCTGAGTAACTTTGTTTTATGTATATTCATCTCTTATCAAGTGCAGCATCAGCAAAACTATGAATTAATGTCTATACTGTATGAATCATTTATGATCTATGGTCTTACAATACAAGTTACAAAACCTGTTTCTGATACATTTTCTGTTTTCTGTTTTGATGTTGAAGCCCAAACCATTCGTCAGCACTCTAGGTTTCTTTTGTGTTATTTTGTTTGCCTTACAAACTTTAACTTGATGTGAATTGTATATATATATATATATATATACTACACACATGCCTTGTAGGACACGTAAACACTTAATCAGTTCTACAGATGTTTCATTTCCAAAAATCTGAATCCCAAATGCAAACTATAAATAAAAAAAAGAAAATCTAAACAATAAACACTATGGAAAGGCCCATGCTCAACAAAAAGACTTACTCATTTCTACTGTTGTTCCATTCCCAAAAATAATCTTCCCACAAGCAGCGACAGCGCAGTAGTAAGTTCCAGTATGGTGCTGGTTGAGGATGTTCTTGGAGAAGTTGTACACAGAGCTGTGTGTAGAAGAGTTGATCTCACACTGACGGCTGCTGCTGTTCTGATGAGTGTAAATGATTTCAGGAAAGGATTGTCCTGCAGCAGCTCTGAACCAGAGCACTCGGAGTTCTGCTGATCTGATCTCAGAGAGGACCGTGCACTGCAGAGTGACCGACTCTCCCGGAGAAACTGACCCCCGTACTGGAGTTTGGAGCACCAATGTGTTTAACTGCCCTGGAATAAGTAATATAGATTGTGTAAGTATTTGTATTCAATAGTAACAGTGCCATCACAGGGTGAAATCAGTATAATTACAGCATAACAGTAAAATAGTGCATATATTAAGAAGCTAAAGTGTGATTGTAATAAATAATGGACATTTAGTCATAGTATGGATATTTTCGCTAGCAATAGCAATAATGCATGTGATACTCCTCAACTTCCAGCCTGTAAGTATAACCAATTAAAAGGCAGATTTATTTATGTATAACAGTTCATACACAAGAATGATTCAATGTGCTTTAGACTCTGATGAAGTCAAAACTGAAGCAGAAAACAATAAATCAATATATTACCTGTGACCGCTAAGAATGTAGCAGTAGAAAAGTCCAGCGTTTTCTTTCCAGTCTCTCCACAGAAGTACATTCCTTCATCTTCTTTAGTGACACGTTCAATACTGAGAGAAATGCCATTCGCAATTCTGTTGAGTTTAAATCTCGATTTGTCGAATTGATCTGAAATCACGGCCAACTTTCCTTCTAATTGTGATCCCACTTCCAGTGGCGCATGCTCCAGTCTTTGTTTGTACCACATCCTAACATCTTTATTTGAGTTGTCTACAAATGTACAGTTGAGAGTGACCGCTTCACCGGGCTCAGCTGAGATGACCAACGGCTCTGAATTTCTCACTGCTTGAGCAGAATCTGTAAAACAAAGTTCAGTCAATAAAAAAAAAGAAAAACTTGGTTGAACATATTTAAAAACAATAAAAAACAAAAACAATTTTTATATGGTAACTTTATGAAACTTACCTATTTTGTAGAGAAGTAAGATGATAATCACAGCTGGATCCATCATCAGAAAAACAACAGCTACAACTCAAAGGCCAATATTCTAAAGGCTGTAACTGCATAAAGCAGAAACTGCATTTGCTTGCTGGGTTCTTATACTGAACCTCATTGGCTGGTAAAAGTCACATGGTTCTTTCTGTCTGCTTGACTTGATTTGTTTGGCCACAAAACATGCTCTGTGCTCTGTGTAAGCTCTTATCAGTGGTTGTGGTTGTTACTGTCTTAGTCTTTAACAGCCTCCATTATCAGCTCTACAGAGAAGCTGTCATATATGACGATCTCAGAATATCTGCCTGTGAAGGTTTGAAGACCTGATTATTTGCAGAAATAGAGGTGTAGAAGGGTGCTTGGTTTTCATTAGTACAGTAAATCTTCACCCCGTTTTGGAAATTAATATATTACTCTAGACTGCAAAAATTTTGGTTACAAATATTATTATTAACAAAATAAACTTTTAGTTTTCCTCTATACTTAGTTTACTTTCCGCCAGTTTCTTTTGACCCCCTTTTCAATCTTTATTGATTTGGGTTTATTTATTTTATTATTATTCTGTTATATTTAGTTAATAACTTAGACTTTTATAATTACAAAATAATTTAACAGTCCGAGGATTTTTATTGAAAAAAAAATATATAAAATTACTAAAAGATGAGGGACATTCATCATGATTTGTGATACAAACTGACATTGTCAGTAATTTTAATCTGTTTCTTTTGATTGATTCATCACAAAATGTACACACAACTTAAACTGAAGTTTTCAAAATATGCAAAAAAATAAACACACAAACAATTGTGATTTAAAGTTGTGTCTGACAGTGATGATAAGAAGTAAATGGTAAAACCTTATTCTAGTAAGCAAAAAAAAAAAAACAGTTTATAGCAATTTTATTGTTGAATAAAACATTTTCTACAGTTATTCTTGTTTAAAATACTGTTAAATCTATTTAATTGCAAAATGGTTTGATTTGTTTGAAGTGTTTGATTTTTTTTTTTCCAATTTATAATTAAAATCCATTAAAGTAACATATATAATGCTTCAAATGGAAATAAATATAACATCACCAGAGTGGTCTCTAAGTGACCATGTCCATTCATCCATTCAGAACACATTCAGAACAGATTCAGAATACATTCAGAATACATTTCTCAGCATTTATTTGCAAAGTCATAGCATGTAACAAAAAATAGCTTTCACCTTAAAATGTTTGCATCACACACATGTGAACACATCCTCTTCAAAGAATACATTTAAATATATATATATATATATATATATATATATATATATATGTATTCGGCAATTTTTGTGCACGGTCTATTTATTTGCTTAGTTTAACTACCATAACTTTTCTGGAGTCCACATTTTATTTGACTTTTTCTCCAATATGTTAAATTCAGTAAATAAACAGTAACTGTGTGTATAGATTGGTTCTCACTACAACCTGAAACACGTCTTCTACATTCCCATTGAGAGCAAACGATATCAGACACCATCTGAGCTCATGAAAGTGTTTGTCACATGTCTGAGTAACCACACACTCTAAAACTGTGTTCTCGCTCGGCTCCTTCAGAGAACTGACACTTCATACCAAACTGGACTGTCTTTTTCAGTCATGCAGTTTTGAGCACAGAGCAAAGTGAAGCACATGATTGTAGATCCTGACTGAAATCAGCACAAACACAAATAAACAGATACAGATTACAAAGCTGACAGTAACAGAGAATATCCACAAACTTCACTTCTGCTGCTACAAGAGAAGAGAGTCCAGTGAGTCAGTGATTGTTGGGGTCAGTAACTGAGAAGTATCTGATTTCAGAGTAAACACTGTCTCCAGAGCGTCCACTCTTCATTCTCAGGCTTTTGGCTGCATAATTCAGCTCCACAGCAGCAGAGTCCTGTAGAGATGAATATGAAATATTAAAGGCTGAAGATTAGAGAACTCTATAGGAATTAAACAGTGTCAGTGTGAATGAGAGAACATGTAGTACCTGACTGGGTTTGTTCTCCACCATCGAATCATGATCTCTAACTATGATGGAGTAAAGAAAGATTACAGTGTCATATTTAGAGTTTAGATCAGAGAATATGACCTCAGTGCTGGTCACTTTTAGTTTCAGACTGGTTAATGAATACTGAATAATTATTTTACTACTCTTTTGTTAAAATATTGATTATAGGTATATAAGAATATAATATTGTCAAATATTATTATTATAATTATTATTATTATTATTATTATTATTATTATGACAGTGACGTTCTGTCAGTACTAGAGTTATATGTCACTCTTCTCTGTTGATGTAAGAACTCTTTCTGCTGATTCAGTATAAGCTGTAGTTTGTCTATACTCTTTTTGGAGATGCCAGAGAACAATGCATTACAATAATCTGAACTGGAGAAAACAAAGTAAATGTCTTAGCATTGTGCCATATGACATGTTATGACTAATGTCATGTTTTTTTTGTGTTGTATTCTAGTAAGGGATCATTTCAAAATGCATAATCAGTCATTATTGGTAAAAGGCATAATAATAACACCATATATAACAGATTAGTTCTACACTCACCACTGCAGTTTTGAATGGCCTGAATGCAGATCACAATCACACAGATTCCCAAAGCTGCTCCCAGATAGAACACAGTGGGATCCACAGGAACCTCTGCAAGATATAAATGATCAAAGTACATGAAAAATGTATGTCTATAAAAGATCAAAGCAACACTGACGGTCACATATTATGGCACCATAATGACATCAATTAACCTCATGCATTAAAATAACATGAACTGAACAGAAATTAAGGTGATCAGAGCTTTAGTTCCATCTATAAATTGTTAAAATAAAAATGTACACATTTTTTCTCTTTTCATTTATGTTTCATGGCAATAAACTTTTCACTGAAACTCCAATGATGTCCAGTTCATGATAACATGTGCGCTAATCAATTCAATCCACACAGCTCTAGAATGTTGTCAGACTTGGAATAAATTTAAAGTTTGTGATTTACCTCCATTGTAGTGTTGCTCATTGACCAACAGCTGTACACAGTTTAAACTAACAGACACACAACACAAAGCACACGTATAGACTTACTGAAGTGGACTGATGCTGCATTACCAACAATGATCTTCCCACAAGCAGCCACAGCGCAGTAGTAAGTTCCAGTATGGTGGTGGTCGAGGATGTTCTTGGAGAAGTTGTACACAGAGCTGTGTGTAGAAGAACTGATCTCACACTGATGGCTGCTGCTGTTCTGATGAGTGTAAATGATTTCAGGAAAGGATTGTCCTGTAGCAGCTCTGAACCAGAGCACTGAGAGTTCTGCTGCTCCGATCTCAGAGAGGACCGTGCACTGCAGATTCACTGACCCTCCTGGAGAAACTGACGACCATACTGGAGTTTGGAGCACCGAAATGTTTAACTCAGGATGACCTGGTCAGTGTAATTGAGACATTGAAAGATTTTGGTACAAATTGGCTTATGAAGCACACATTAGGAGTCAACTATTAGAGATGAAACTTCTTTTCAAAATGCAGGAATATTGTAGCACTATAAACAAGGTATTGTGCAGTGCAATGCAGTGTCAGTTTAATTGACTTCACTTCTTATAAAAAATAAATGTAATAAAGTAAACCATAAAAACATTTGGTTAAAGTTTTCTATTGTTGTAAAGTTTGTTGTGAGTTTATATGTTATTTAAAAATCATATACAAACAATAACTTCATTACCTGTCACAGCTAAGAATGTGCCATTAGAAAACGTAATAGTGTTCCTGTGTCCCACACCACAGAAGTACATTCCTTCATCAGCTTTAGTAGTTTGCTCAATAGTCAGATTAAAACTCTGGTTTATTTTGAATCTGTTTGATGAAGTAGCTGCTTTTTTGTCGGATAACTTCACTGCCACTTCCTGAGGTTCCTGTCCTGCTCTTTGTTTGTACCAAACCCAACTCTTAATGCTTTGACCAGACTTTTCCACAAATTTGCAGTGTAGAGTAACATTTTCACCAGACTCAGCTGAGACAAATGATGCCTCAGAAAGATCCACAGCTAGAGCAGAATCTATAAGACAGAATCAGATCAGAGCTCAGCTGATAAAGAAATTTGTACATGACATTTCAACACACACAGTAAACAGATAATAATAAGACTTACTGAGGGTTCAAAAAAGTCACTATAACTTACATATCATGTAAAGATGTAAAATCCGCATCCAAATCAGAGCCATTGTGTTAAAATGAAGCTGTTCTTATTTAAAACAAACTGGAAAGGAAGTAAATAACAGCAGCAACACACTGTATCAGCTGGCTGGGCTCAGGAGATTAAGCTCATTGGCTGTCAAAGGGTCTTTTTTTCTGTCTGCTCTTCTTTTCACTCATGATTGGCCACAAGAAGTTCCTTGGCCTCTTATAAAAAAGCTTCTTAAGCCTCACAGAAGGTTACATACAAGAAATGGTAATAAATACATAGATAGTTTTTCTACTGTAGTTTTGAGAGAATGTTTTGGTCTAAAATGCATTTATTAAAGCACATTCATGGTGGAGTGGTCCACAGGAAGTCCCAAAAGAAACCTTAAAGTAATAACAAACATATATTTTTAAAAGATGTAATAATAATCAATTTAAACAGAACAAGAAACTGCAGTTCAGAATTCAAAATATCAAGTGATACAGTAAATAAAAGTTGAACATTAGCTAGTAAATAATAGCTAGTAAATAGTAAATAATGCATTACAATAATCCAAACAACAGAAAAGACAGTAGCCAACTTTTTAATATTGTGCCATGTGAGATGAAGTCCTGACCAAAGTTTTCTTCTTCTAAAAAATAAGTTAATATAACTACAAAAATTTCACATTTTCTTTCAATATTTTTATCCATGGTACTGGATGACTAAAAATACTTTGTCATTAATAAAAAATGTTTGAGCAGATATAGAATTATATCCATGTATGACAGACAATGTTCCTGTAGAACAGGGTTAAATTAAACGATGAGACAGAAGCTGTGGCTAATATTCACTGTAGTCTCTCAAGTCTGAGA